TGTTAAGAAGCTTCATTTGAATGATCCTAATTATAACTTCAAGGTTTAGTCTTTCAAAGACAGATATTAGCTAGTCTCTACAGAAATAATGAAAAAAGATCGACATGAATTTACCGCTCTAGACCGGCGCTTTTGGAGCCGAACGGCTTCTTGTCGGCTTAAAATGTTGACTAGACTTGACTTAGTCAACCGAAACTCTCATCGGATTGTTTCAGTTGTTTCTGAAAAGCTAAAAAGTTAAGACTCTCTTTCTTTTCAAAATACGATATCTCGGTAGTGTTTTTATTACTGCTGAAACACAAAGTCCATATCGGCAAAAGGCACGTTCGCGATATCAGAGGAAATCTCCTGTTTCAGGAATTATTTATGTTATTGGCGCCTCTTGGCTTAGGGGACAATATTTCTGACCAGTCAAAAGGAGTCGATCTTTCTTGGAATTGAGCGTTTCTTTTGGTGGTAAGAGCATTTGTACAATTAGAATGCCGTTTAATTTTGTTTTTTGAATAATTCCATTTACTTATAATTAGTGAACCCTGATCGTCCGATCAGGTGACTCGAGTAAGCTTTCAAGGTTAACTCTGACCTGAACGTTGATTGGGCCGGGCACGTANACTTTTAGTTTGATTTAATTTGTTTGAAATTGGCCTTTTTCCAAATAAAAAAAGTCAAATTTGCCAAATTCAGCACGAAACAGGTTTGTAACGTAAAAAAAGAATCAATTGCAATGTTTAGTGTTAAAATTTGCTAGTCTTATTTTTTACTTCCTGTTACAGTTTGCTCTTGTTTCTATGTGCAGCATGTGTATATGTCTAATATTACTTTGTTCTGGCTCAATTTAAGTTTTTTTTCCTATTTCTAAAGATCGCTCCAGCTATGGCAGCTAGCTGAATATATGTAGATATGATGTTTCTTTTCACTATGGGATTGTACTAATTATTATAAACTACAGAAAAGAAAATGAATACGCGAATGATATCGCTAATCTGTTAAGAAGCTTCATTTGAATGATCCTAATTATAACTTCAAGGTTTAGTCTTTCAAAGACAGATATTAGCTAGTCTCTACAGAAATAATGAAAAAAGATCGACATGAATTTACCGCTCTAGACCGGCGCTTTTGGAGCCGAACGGCTTCTTGTCGGCTTAAAATGTTGACTAGACTTGACTTAGTCAACCGAAACTCTCATCGGATTGTTTCAGTTGTTTCTGAAAAGCTAAAAAGTTAAGACTCTCTTTCTTTTCAAAATACGATATCTCGGTAGTGTTTTTATTACTGCTGAAACACAAAGTCCATATCGGCAAAAGGCACGTTCGCGATATCAGAGGAAATCTCCTGTTTCAGGAATTATTTATGTTATTGGCGCCTCTTGGCTTAGGGGACAATATTTCTGACCAGTCAAAAGGAGTCGATCTTTCTTGGAATTGAGCGTTTCTTTTGGTGGTAAGAGCATTTGTACAATTAGAATGCCGTTTAATTTTGTTTTTTGAATAATTCCATTTACTTATAATTAGTGAACCCTGATCGTCCGATCAGGTGACTCGAGTAAGCTTTCAAGGTTAACTCTGACCTGAACGTTGATTGGGCCGGGCACGTAATTTTTGGTCAAGTGTACACATGTAGCAATTAGGGGGCTTCAACAGCTCTTGAAAAACACGTTTCAAATATCAGTAAATTCTCGGTATCTTCAGACAGACTTAAACTAAGCTATGAAAAATTATGAAATTTTGACGGCCGTTAGCTAATATGGAAACCTTATCAGCGTGTCCAAATCAAATGCTTGAGGTTCCTAAGCAACTGACGAAACGACGACAGCTAAAGAAGGACAGTTCGACACATGTAGCTCTGCAATATTTGGGCTCAATAAACAAACCGCATACAACTGTCACTGAAACTCAGTACACGAAATCATAATTACCTTCTGATTTTTTCAGCTCATGATGAGAACCCTTCCAAATATGTTATATCGTCAAGCTAGTATTTAATTTTATCAGTGGATAAATACATACTTATTCAGTGAGCTTTGAAAAGCCATGAGATTCATAATTTCACATTTAAAAAAAAAATGTAAGAAGATTTAGACAAAATGGAAAAAATATTCCCTTTTTTTAATTGATCTGGCTCCTTACTCCTTTTCAATATAAGTTCATCAAATTTCGGGGAAAGCAATTGAAAAATTGACACCGCAATTTCATTCCAATTCTTGCCTCGAATGCCTATTAGATTAAAGGAGCTATATGTCACGAGTTTTTCGTATTACCTTAAAATCCTAAAAAACACGTTGGAAGACATCCCTGAAATTGATGAAATGATCGGTCGGGATCATCTCTATTTATAACTTCTCTCCTACTAAACCTCAACGATAAATGTATGCCAGCTTTGGCTTTCGATAGCTAGGAGGGTGTAAAAAAGATTGCAACTTGAGAAATATCGCTAACTTTTTCAAGTTGAACTTCTGTGTTGTCGAAACTGTTCATACTTTGTTTTCCCTATGATAGGAACATTTGATATCTTTCGTTCAGAATAACAAGTATGATTTCAATCCGGCTTAAATTTGTTAACTTTTGTTTTTGTTTGCGCAGCCAGCAGGTCCAAGCAAATTTGTCTAATATATGTATATATAATATATAGATATATTTTCTTTTCCGAACAGGCCTGGCCTTACGCTATTGACGATTACTTCTATCACAGAAAAAAAAAATCACTTTAGCTAACTTTCACTGAAGTTCGCCTTGAACCAAAATAATATTGTTAAAAAAGGCATTCCTTAAAGCAAAGAGTCGAAAAGAGGAGGGTTCCTTCTCCAACAAGCAGAGTCTGCTGACTTTCTCGTTTATTCTTACTTATGTAGCCACTCAACGGAACATGAGCGTACACTCTGCTAGCGGGGAGAAATTGTATTAAAGATCTACAACGCTAGAGCGTCCAGTGGCTTGAACATAAACAAAGAACTTTGTGTTTATTTTCTACACTGTTCATGCATATTATTTCCGCACAAAAAATTCGCGATTCAAAAAGACGACGGATTTATCAGAAACTTCAGCTGTTGTAATTATAAGTTATGAATGGTCTGTCTGACAATTCATCGCTTCTTCTCCTGCACTACTGTAATCTTTTTCATGATGGATGATTAGGAGCCCACTAAAAGAAAAGATGTTGTTAACCATCCGCATTCACATCTGCTGCCCATGGCAAAATTCTCATCGTAACCAAAAAGAAATTTACTTTGTTTAATTTTATAATGACCAATCAAAAGTTTTACAACAGCACACAAAACTAAAACAGTAATGTCAGTAATGATATATTGCTCAGTGTATTTTTCTTTTACGGATCAACATTCGAAAGTATATTTGGCGTGTGCAAAGCAAAACGCCCTTTGGAGCTAAGATGTCTTTCTCTCCCTTTTTTCCCGCACGCTTTTTATGCTATTGTTGTTGTTAAATTAAAACCGCAGCAAAGTCAAATATATGTTGTTTTGGGTCCCCTACTGCGCAGGTCTGTGGCAGTAAGTCGTACGTGCCTGAAATAATTAATATGTTCATCGAATTTATAAAAGCTTTTTCAGTCTATCCCTCGGTTCTTTCACAGCCCGTATCATTGATGGTGTCGCAATGTGAGGAACGTTCGAAATGTACCAGGTCATTTTTCAGGTTTAATTGAATTGTGGCGTGATTTGCTATGGTACATAAGTCATAACTTTGTATATGTTGCGAGGACGGATGAAAGAGATATTAGTTCATTTTTTTCCTTTGTAATTTGCATATTTATCCATGTGGTCCAATCTGGTTGATATTTGATTATCCTTCAATAAGTCTTTAATTATCTGCCTGCCCTAAAAATGGTCCCCTCGCCCTTTTCCCTCTGATCCTGACCGCAATATTATTAATTGCCATCAGCCAAGCGTGACTACAGATGACTGGAAACCGAAACTGCTGCAAAGGCGTTTTCAATATCGAGGGTATTTTTGTTTTTGCCTTTGTGTACTTCCGAAAGTTTTGCATTGTTTTGTTTTGAAGGTTTGAGAATGAAAAGCTGTTTTGTAGGGGACAAAACGAGGACCTTAATCCACGTTTATGAAGTTGGATTTTCAACGCTGAAAACTGAAGTTTACAAAAAAAGAAAACAAAACAAAATCATGGACCATTTCATGATCTGAGTGCTTGCACTCAATCACAGCGGATAATGATGAATTATTCAACAAATGTGATATTTCCTTTCGGGTTCAAAGTTTCACACGAAGTTGACGATCATGTCAAAATTCGGATTTTCTACAGTGCTTTCTTTCATTTTATGATAGATCTATCTGAAGTTTGAGCAGAAGGTTGATTTGCTAAGCATTTTAAAGGTTAAATACAGCGATAATAGAACAATAAAACAATATGGCGTTCGCTGTAAGACCTTTCGATTATCTAAATCCTCATCTGTGTACGTCACGCATCAATTTCAATGGCTTTCATTAAGCTTGCTTGATCACGTTTCTTTTCACAATGAATAAATTCTTCTTCACTGAAGCACCATAAGCGAAGTTAAACGACAAAATTACAACCCTACTGTGTCATTGCCGCGAAACCAACGCATTCTCTAAAAATTGCCGACTTTTTTTGCGCGTTCTTGCGCGAAAACTGACTAGAAACAAAAGGCTATTCACATTTCAACTCGTTCACCTGGCAACGTAAGGCAAGCCTTTGTAACAATTTTACTCGTGATTGGCCGCTGACGTGACGTCACTGAGTGGGTTTTTTACCAGCAGACGCAAGCTAATTATTTCCGCAAGTTTTTTGGCGAGAAAAGCTTTGAAGGAGAAAAGCTATAGAGAATCACTTTTCCTATATTTTTAAGGGAAAAGTCTCCCCTTAGAGGTGACTGGTAGTGTATCTGAGTGAAGCACTAGATAAAAGAGAACTTTACTGACAGAGAAGCTTTGAACTCGTTCCAGTTTCGAACAATAACAAGGACATCAACGATAAACAATCACGTTCGGAAGATAGAACCCGACAAAAAAAATGAAAGCTGAAGTTGATATGGCGTGTAGATTCGTCACTAAGATGTTGAGAGGGAACGGCAAGATATCAGAGAAGCAACTGGATGCTTTTCATAAGAAAATGAAGGAGATTTTGTGTGCAAGATACAAGCACCATTGGCACCCTCAAAATCCTTTGTTGGGAAGCGGTTTTCGTTGCATCAGAATCAACCATTCTCTCGATCCAGTTATTGCTGAAGCGGCCAAAGCGTGTGGCTTGCCTAACAGAGATCTAACTCTTCCACAGGAGTTAACGCTTTGGATCGATCCTAAATCCGTAGCTTTTAGAATTGGGGAGAACGGATCGATCTGCGACTTAGACGACTCGATGATTTCCCAAGAAAATACAACGAGCTTGCAGTCAAAAGAGGCGCTGAATTCGAGGAATCAAGAATCAAGGAAAAGAAGTAGCTTTAATATCCTGAATTGCACAAAAGATGTGGTTAGTTTCCCAGTTTCATCCTATATTCCATGCTAGCATTTTCAGATAGAGAAGCTTTTAGAGCAAAACGATTGTGTGCATAGATGAATTTTCAGATATACAAAGATATGTAAATTTCACGTTCTATCGATTATTCACACCATCTGAAGTTTCGTTGTTAGTGTAAAAAGAAAAGCTCGGCTTTATTAATTTTCGTTGGCTGGGAAACTTTTGTAACATAAGAGCTATGAACCTGTATTTTTATCTGTATAGAATTTTGTAAANTAAATTTCACGTTCTATCGATTATTCACACCATCTGAAGTTTCGTTGTTAGTGTAAAAAGAAAAGCTCGGCTTTATTAATTTTCGTTGGCTGGGAAACTTTTGTAACATAAGAGCTATGAACCTGTATTTTTATCTGTATAGAATTTTGTAAAGTCTGTACAGGTTTGCTGTTCACGGCGATAATAAATTGGAGTCTATTAACATTGAAAACATTCAAATCGCCTCTATCATTGTTTTTTTTAGCTTGTTATATTTGCGAATTCCTCATAAAATGATAGCAATATAGCATATTATGGCCAAATTATTTAAATTCCCTTTTGATGCAGCAACGGAAATCTCTGTTATGTGTAGTAGCCTATATTTTCCTTGAAGCCATATTTGTTATTAGAAATGTCTTTGTTGAATTATTCAGCGTAAGGTTATATGCATGCATATCACCTGATTTGCGCCATGTGTTCCAACAAACGATGTAAAAAACACAAGCATAATTGTGTTGCTTAAAAAATGACTTCATATATTTTACCCACTTAAAATCATAATATTTCCAGTGCTTTAAATTTTTCGACGACTCTGCGGCTTCCTATTTCCTTTTTTTTTACTGTTTTTTTTTCGTTGAAAAGCGGAAACGAAACCTGTACAATGCACCCATGGTTTGTTTACCATCCGTTGGCGCCAGCGCGCGTTAAGAAATGTTTGAAATCGCTTTCGAGTTGGCCGTGTTTCTTCGATCTTTCTTCATTTTCAATACGAACATTTCGATTTCTGACATTTTCTTCATGTCTCCGTGGAAAGCCCCTCATAAGCTGTATCAAATTACTATTATTCGATGTTGCTATTTTCGGAAAATCCGCTTTATGTGTTAACAGTCAGGTGACACCCTGTGAGGCTTAAGTCACGTTCCAAAATAATATTGCTTCACCCTTCACCGTGGCATACAAAAGTTCAAAATGCAATGATTGCTCCATTTTCACACTGCAATGAGCAGCTCAAAATAGCCCAAGCTACCGAGATCGAGGCGATAATTGAACTGCTCAGTTGCATTTGAATTTCAATGTCCAATGTTAAAAATCCTTAGTTTTCATATTTGGAGTATATATTTTGATAAATATTCTCCAAAAGAAACTTACTAAAAAAAACATATTAATATAAACAGACATTTATAAAAGACCCCCAAAATCCAACATCTCATCAAACCCCGTTATATTGGTTCAGTTTTTGTTTAGAAGGCGTAAAATAATAACCTCAAATTGGTCGGGGAAATGCACAAACTTACTAAACAATTCCAAGGCATTTACTTTTGGTCTTCGGGAAAAAATATCAGTTAACCTCTCTGGTCTTTAAAATTGCTTTTAACCATCCTCTGAAAATAGGCTTTATTATGAAGGCTTTGGTTGTAATTGAAACATATTTGAAATTTCGGTAGGTATATATTTGTGTTTTTTTTTTTTGAACGGAGACCTTTTAAACCCTTTTAATGTTTCTAGTGCGTACAATCGCGAAAATAATCATGGCCTAGCAGTGAAAAGTCTGAAAAAAAATCCTATGAAATTTTAGTTTCTAAGCCTTTGTTTGCAAGGGTAATTTTCCCTAAATTTTCTTCTTTGCCAATGAACAAAAATGATTTCGAACTGAATTTTGCACTGGGGTTTGCAGCCACTCAATATACAAACACAATTTTTCTCCGCGATCGCGAAATTAAAGACTCGCGAAACGGTGGCGAGAAAATTTTCGCGAAATTTAAGTCCCGCGAAAATAAAGGAGAATAAGGTAGGTAGCCTGTTGCAGGCTCCGAGATAGTCAGGTCAGGCGCCCGGCGGGGCGGGGGGAGGGGGTACTCAACAAATGTTTATACAGGGAGGTTTCGACCCGAAGTCCAACCCCTTACCTTTTATATACCTTTTTTTTTACGAAAAAGTTACGCCTTTCGTATACCTTCTATTGACAAATGGTACCTGGCCTTTCACATACCTTGCTCAGAACTTTGCATCCCTTTTAACTGCTGGAAATCACTGTCTTTTAAATAGGAATCAATCACAAAAATAGAACGTTTTCTCGCTCTAAAAAGCCATTAAATTTATCTGTTAGCCCTTTTCGGTCCTTTTCACAGACCCAAATGACAGATTTCCTTACCCTTTTATATGCTTGAGCTAGTGGAATCCCACCCCATTCATATAACTGACGCCTGAAAAAGATACCCCTTTCTGGCGGAGCCTCCCCGAAAGGCCATCATAGGGAGTACCCTCCCCGGGGTCAGGCCCCTTTTTCCAGGTAACGAGCTTATATTTTCGCGTGCCTTACACTTAAGTATCATAACAATCTGAGCCTGGAAAAGTCTAAAATATTTGCAAATAGGGCACTGCTCCAATTGCATAGGCTAGGAGTCCGCATAGGCTACGCTGTGGGTTGCTGCTGAACCGGTAGGCTTTCCAAAAGGGTCTACCTCACGGACGAAGGACTTTTTTTCAAGTCTTCTGAACCGAGTATGCAGTGGTTTTCACCATTTTTAGTCCTGAACAGGGTATACTATTTTACTGTTTAGAGCGGAACGTTGCGGCGATGAGCGGCAATTTTTTCCAATGCAAAACGAAATGAATCAGGGTCACTTGAAATGAGGTCTTTCGTCTTTAACAAGCTAGTGTGTTTGAAAGCAACTTCCCGTGAATGAGTTTCTCTTCTCCTCCCCCTCCTCCTCCTCCTGCTCTCCCCCCCTTCCCTTCCGTCCCCCCTGTGGGGAACACAAAGAAAATATTGACAAAAAACGGCTCTGTAGAGTACAAAAGCTCTCGCTGGTACTGGTATTCCAAAAATATAATTGATATATAATCCACACAGTGGCGTAAAATTTAAACAGGTCTCTGAGAAGACCAGATCAGAGATATGGAGCCTTCTGAAGATAAAACAACTGCCTGAAGGCCTTTTGTTAGCCTGCGAACCACAGACGCATTTCCGGTCGTCGCTTCTCTCGCTCCGAAAGAAAGCGACCAAGAGAAGAGTCGACAGGAAAT